GAAATGAAATTCAGTACAAAATGCTGTTCTATCCAGACCTTGAAACTGGAGTCAGAACGGAACTGTGCCATTTTGCACAGCCCTACTACCTACGACTGTTAATGCCAAGTGCTGGACAGCAACTGAATAACCTGGCAACCTCTAGGATGCCAATGGCTATGGGCAGAAGAGCATCTCAAAAGGGGTTCTAGTCTCATCCCTGCCTGAGGAAATGCTGCCAAAAGCTTGTGGAACTGAGGTCCACTCCATGATATGGTAGACTAACCCCTTTAACTAGTCAGCAGCCAGCCTAAGTGTAGAGACCCAATCCACTGACAAATGCATGATCTCCTTTGTTCCAGCAGCTCCTGCAGCCAAACTGGCTACAACTGGACTGGAACCTGCCTTTCCTTTTGATTAAACCAGCAGCGCTGAGAGAGGGACACCAGTGCATGGGCGACTTAGTGATTCCATATATACTGCCCGGGTTCTTGTGCCCTGGAGAGGTCACTCCAGCTTTGTGTTATCTTTGATTAAGCTAGCTGATGCCACACTTGGCACAACTCTATTGTCCTGTGAGGCAGACAGATGTCTATTACTTTTAGGTCATGCCAACTGCTCATAGGATGCTAGCAGTGTAGAAAGGGGTGTCAAGTATCTGGCCTACAGGACTTCTTGCAGACCAGAAAATTCACCTCCCAATCTGGCTCCCAAGGCCATAAATTCTGCAGTGGTGTGGAGGACAGCATTAACCTCCACAGGTGCCACAGACACTGTTTCAGTGGGGCCAGAACCTGGGGGTTAATACTGCTGCTACTCACCTGACTGCCCAATTTCTGGGTTTATATCCCCATTAGGAACAATAGAGAATGTCAGCACTCCAGAATGCCAATAACCTCTTCTGGGACATGGGGAACCGAAATTAAGATCCCTGGCTAGAATCAAGCAAAATAAAAACTTGAACACTGGGCCATTCCAAGTGGCTATTTGGATTCAGACTCTAATTCTTTCACACAAATGACAGAACACATTTTTGTCCCAGTTCTTAATCAAATGTAAATAGGAATGATAGTGGTGAAAAAAATTCAGTACAATGCCCAAAATACAACACTCATAGCCATTGTCATTTGAAAAAACACACTGATGGTTTTCTCAGATTTATATGATCTCTGATCTATATATAGTGGTGTTTCATTTAAATCATGGAAAAATGTGGATTTGGGCTTACTTTTTCTAAACAAAAATTGGGAATTTTTTTTTAAATCAGAGAAGTCAGGATCCCTGGTAATTAGCCTAATATTTGAAGCATTCATCCAGGAAGAGACACACCTGGGTTTAAAGCCATAATCATCCTGAATCTATATACAGTGGTGTTTCATTTAAATCATGGAAAAATGTGGATTTGGGGTTACTTTTTTTAAAACTGAAAATTGGGGATTTTTTTAAAATCAGAGAAAACCAGGATCCCTGCTAATTACTGGTAAACTGACACCATCGTTAGGCACCTACCATTTTAGAAGCACCAAGAACTTGAGATCTGAAGTGGATGGATGCCTATAAAGTACAGGAAGCAGGTACCTACCTCTGAGGAGGGTGGGCAATCTGACCCACCCTTGCGCCTAGTGTTTCTCATTGGCTAGCTGTCTGCAGTGCCCTTTTCAGTGCTTAAGCACTCCAAATTGCTCGTTAGAAGCTTGTAAACTCTCCTGACCAAATGTACAGGGGTCCTAGGTTCCTAAATCCTTCTATCTGGACTACCCTCTTGGGCAAGGCACCTATTTTTAGGTATGCTGAAATCTAAAAATGGAGGTGCCTATGAGATAAATTTGGCTCCAGACCTAAAGTCTTTCAGATTCACAGGCTGCTTAGAGATGTGGAAAAAAACCCAAAACAGTGCTTTACTTTCACAGCTTGGCACGCCCTTGCACCAAACGCAATGTATACCCAGAACATGTGTTGCGTTACTTCGACCCAGCTTGCCCAAAGTCTGTATAGATTGGGTGCTTCAGCAGGGCTTTTTGGTGTTATCTAATAGCTGACTAAATCAGATTTAGATAAAACTGCTAAAAAACTCCGCTGAAGCACCCAATCTGTACAGAAGCTGCGGAGCCAGGTCAAACTAATGCACTTCCTCTTCTGCATAAGCACTGTTCCCCCCTCCAGCGCTCTTAATGAGTTATTTTGAGGGCACTGTATAGATGTCTCTTCAACCTGCCACTTTTAATGCTAGTAGTTAAACTTATTTTAAGATTAACATTGTGATAGTACATAAGGATGGTACATCCTGGTGATGTTCCCCGATCCCTGCTGCTATTTGCTCCTTTGGCAGCTCTGATAGGAACTGCTGCCAATCCAGCCAGTGGCCAGGAGTTTAGTGGTTAATTCACAGCTATATGTTAGAAGAACCTCAGGTAGGTACTAATTACACGTGTCCAATCCTATTTAATCTGAAAGAAAGGTTTTAATTTGAATGTGAGAAAAAGACGGGATTTCCCAAGGCCAGCAATTCTAGGGGTTCATCCTCTGTGGTTTAGAGTGTTTGTTTTAATTTTTTATGTTCACAGCTTGTGAAACTGTATAGAAGGAATGCAGCTTTGCCAGACTGGCATCAGTTTGTATTAAGTTGAAACTCACCAGTAAAACCAAGATGAGGGGGAGTCTTTTTATTACACAAGACTTTTCTGAACTCCCCTCTTTTATTAATTAAGCCCCCCACCTAGCTACAGCAGCCTACTGAAAATAAATGTGAATGCAACCACACCCAGTAACATATTCAAAACACTTATTTAATTCTCCGTTATCTACTCACAGTTTATTACAGGTTAATAAGAAATTATTTTATATTTAAACTAAAATGATTTTAAATTGCTTATGAACAAACTTAAAACTAGTCTTTAATTTTTAAATTTATTGCAAGCAGATACATTTCTTCTGCTTATATAATCTACAGAAAGGTCCAAAATATAAATGAATAAAGACAAGTTATATTTAAGTATCTACAGAAATGAAAGTTAAAAATATAGCACTGAAAATAAATTTTACAGTAATGGATGATTATTTATTCACACTTCAACAGTTTAGATCAGGTAAATGAAGTGTAATAGGATAATCTAAGCATTAGGTTTGAAGGCTGATTTATTTTCAAATAAATGCACCTATCATTGCATCATTGAAAATAATGTCAGCATTTGGTGCTGATGACTACAGACATCTTTGATGTTTAATGCACTGATAACTACTCCTGTTGCTCCCAACAGCACTTTTGCAGATTCTACTTTACATTATATAATGAAAGGACATTTTAAAAGAAGTGTGTATATACAATATATTTTAAGTCAGAAATAACATATTAAAACTCAATATATTTTCATAAGGTAAAAAAATTAAAGCTATATAAACTGATTTGTAGATTATTCTGCAAAGTAGAATCATGTACTTTTTCACTTTCATAATACTTGGACAAATTTCCATTACAGCTTTGTTAACAGACAGTAGCATGATCACAGTGATCTCGCTGGCTTTCAAAAATAGTGTCGGTGCAATTCAGTTATTTTTTTTCCTTCTCATTTCAAGCCAGTGGGATCAAGACAAACAGGCTAATGCAACCAAGAAAAACTGTAAGCTTTCACACTGAGCAGTTGAACAAACAATATTAATTACTGTACACCATAAAATGAAAATGATTCCAGTATTTTGCTACAAGCCACTTCAGGAATACACACACTTGAGTGGCTACAAAGCTTGAAATACTTTCTAAGACTTCACAAACATTTAGTTAGTGCCTACCAATTTCAAGACATTTATAAAAGCAGTTATGGAGACATTTTGTTGTTAAAGCTGCAACAGTTTAAACAAGGCAAGTTAAGAAGTTATATAGTTTATCATTATGGTTTTTCCTATCCTTACAGTTCTTTCATCATTCAACAGCCTGTCAGCTTTCCATGTCTCAGTGATAATACAATCTTTGTGTATTCTTTAGACGTGGCTCTTGCATTTACACCTTAGTATTTTTCCATCCATTTACAATGAAACTCTGACTTCCGTTAATATCTGCTGCAGTGGACTACGTTTGCATGATAACAGTAACAAGGGACTGAAGCAAAGATTACCCAGGAAAATTGTTTTTTGAAGTTTATGCTTTTTTCATTTAGATGGTATGTTTTAACAGATGGATAAATAGTACCAACTATTTAACTAAAAGTATTGCTAAGTCAAAGCAGAAATACTTGTTAAAATGCAAACAATCTTCCTCCTTTCTAAGATGACAAGTTTAAACAGAATTATTTGTCCTTCAAACACTTTTCTAAGTGTTTCATCCTGTATACCATCTCTATTATTAATTTCTAAGAAAGAGTTGGGCTGTAAGAAGTTTGTAGTAAATTTTTGTTAGTAGACAGAGCAGCAATGCAGCATTTTCAAAAACATCAAGCAAGAGTCTTCTCATTTAAGGCTAAAAGATGGAAATGAGAAAAAAAAGTAAAACAGCAGGAGGTTTTACAGAAAAAAAAATCAGCATAAAAGTATAGCATAAGAAAGAGTAAAACCCTAATCACTACTAGCACTAACAGCATCAAACCATCAGTAGTTGATACAGCAGTAGACTTCTGTTTCTAATTTTAACATTCATCAGAATTTTAACATTCAGCCACAATTCCACTGTAAGCTAAATTTAAGTGGCCAAAACTCATAGGTATAAAAAAGCCTTTAAAACATATACTTAAAAAAATTGAAATGGTGTGTTAACAAAAGTACGCATAAAACAGATATATAAATAGCTACAGTATGAAAAATATTTCAGTGCAAAGGCAATTTTAAGATTTCTAAAAAATATGTTACAAATAATTTGTTAACTACACACAGGAAATTTGTCACCACTACTGGTATAAAACATATATTAGGAATTTAAAATATATACACCAGTGTTTTATGTAGGGGACAGTTCTAACTGACCAGCATTCAAGTATGTAGTGGCAAATATATATAAATATAATATATATATATATATATATGTATATATATAATTATATATTACAGTATGTGACCAATATAATGGCATTGTTTGAAACTAAAAAGTGCTACATGGTAAATGGCAAAAGTGACTTAGTATCTTTATACAGGGTAGTGGGTGAATGTGTGGTAAGCATTGCCATATTTTTTCTTCTTTCATCTTTGGTATACTGAAGTTTTCACAACTTAACAATTTTCACAGGGATTAATTGAAAACATTGTGGTAAGTGTTTCCTAGTGGATTTAATTTACTTTCATTTAAAAACTCTAGTGAAGTTTGAAGTTTTTTCATACATACAAGCAAAAAGAAACTTCCTTCACTATGCCAATAGCATTAAAAAGGGTATAAACAATGCCTTGGTCAAGTTCTCTAATAAAGGCAGCAAATTTGATCCCAAATATTTTGTTTCCTATAGAGAAAAAAAATTTAACTGTCTGCCAGAAACATTTTAAAAGATACACTTGTTCACCTGTTATAAACATGGGGTACAATAAAACTAATAAGTATTAGATTCGTCCTTCAGATGTTTTTACACCCCAAATAAAACACTGGACTAAAAAAAATCTGGAGAAGTAGACATCTAGTAGTAAAATTAGTACAAGCTAAAATAAACTCTGCAGACTGCAGAGAAAGTGGATGTACAAGCTGGCTGGAATGCCTAGTAAATAATGCATACAGATGACTGGTAATCATTGTATCAGAAATGTGGTTGAATTGACAACAGATGTACACCATCTAGTGGTTGTCTCTCAAAAAGATTAACAAGTGTATACAAACTGCTTTATGAGAACGTACTTCTACTGGATCCATTAGCTAGCAGTTTACCTCACAGTAAAATGGGAAAAAAGCTAAAACAAAAATCAAAGAACAAAAATCCAGATATTAAAAGCATCTTATTTGGATACTGTAAATGACTGAAAATAAGATTTTTTTCATAGCACGGGCAGGAAATAGAAAAAAAGTAAAACCAGTACTTCTTAATACATATACTTAAGATTTACATGCAGATGCTTCCTTTCCATAAGGGTAGCTAAAGTGGTGGGAATGCTGGTTCAACTTATTTATTTATTTTTTAGAAATTTCCCAAAACATTTTAAGTTTAATTATTCCATTCCGTATTTGTTTAAGAAAGTGTGAATATTGGTGGTCTGACTTATTTGACAGCCAGCTTGACTCCAGAAAGTGTGAACCTATTCTAAGCAAAATGATTCTGTCTATCTTTCTACAAGGAAAAAAACGAACTCAAAACCATACATAGCCCTGATTTGGCCACTTACAAGGAAGTGAATATTAGAGGGAGTTTCTTGAAAGCAGGTTTGCACAGAGGAAACACCAGTTTGTTCTACAGAAAGAGCAAAGAAAGAAAAAAGGACAGAGAAAATAAGAAACAGCACTTGTTAAATATGCTCTAAGTGACTTTCACCAAAGAGATCTGAGGTCACATTGCTTCTGGCTGAAAATTAAAACTGTTGATCTCAAAATGTAGGTCACTGACTGGAACTATACACTTCAAGTAATAAAGGGAACAACTAAAGACGACAGAAGCAATAAATGCACAAAAGTCTTGACACAAAATGAAGATCATTTCTAGTGCTTTCAGTCTTACAGTGCCAGACTGTGCAGGTTGTTCATTGCTTCAGCAATTCAAGACAAAAATAGGCAAACAGGCCTGGAAGGATTCATACTTCTAGCTCTTGATCCTGTTAGTCTGAACTTTACTTCAGATGGCCAAAGCCAAGTATATTTGAATATGGGTCTGTGACATGTTTGTTTTCTGTATTTGCAAAAAAATAAACAAAAAAATACAGTTCTTAAAGGCTTGAATTGGTGATCTGTCATACAGATGTTTCCAAACCTGACCCACTGTAGCAGTAGCTTGCACTGGAATTGCAAAGCTTATTTGAATAGCCAAAGACAGATGGAAGTATTGAATAATCAATGCCTTTCCAGTGCGTAAACATCATTTTTTTAGAATGAGAATTAGACCTTCTTGGTGGGGAACTGCTGCAGTCATTGCTCCTGTATCTTGGGCTTTTCATAGAGGCAAGAGGTGTGAATTCTGAAATGTGGTCCTGATGCTGCCTTGATGTATTCTGTCAAACAAACAACAACAATAAAAAGAAACACACAGTAAATGGGCTATATAAATAGTGAAAAGCCTGCTACGTTAATTTCTTAGTAGTGTTATGCCCATGGAATCCTCATAATTCTCAGTAAGCCACCACTATCTGGCTTGCTTGCTCCAAGCAAAGGTGTACCCATCCTCCCTCCTGTTAAGCAAGTGACTAATATTTACACAATTAATTTCAGATGAGACTGAGAAACCCTGAATTCTTTATCTATAACTGCTGAAGCTGACAGTGGACTCAGAGAACTGATGAGAGAATACAAGGATCATTTGCAATTTGAGATTTTTTTATTTAATAGGACTAACATATGTTGCACTGATGCTTTACACATCTTGGCTATACCCATTTATCAGTCTACAAGGAACATTAAGGGGACAGAATAATTTTAGCCATTTTGTTCAATATTTCCAAAGAGAGAATTCTCCTCAACTAATTTATGTTAGCAGATGAGAATGCATTGTGGTTTAAGTGCACTAGGCTTTTACATCTAAGCAAGATTAGATGTTACAGCTTGCTTAGGTTACATATGACATCTATTTGCAATCTAATACTATTACACATGAAATACTATCAGAGCCTAATGATTCACTAATATTATTCTGTACCATCAAAAAAAGAAAGGCACCAATTTCACACACTTGGCAATCTCTACTCAGGAAATACTCAGGCTAAAAATAACAGCGGAGTTGGATGACAAGTCTTAAGTGTAGGTGCATGGATTAAGACAAAATAAGTAAAGTGATTTCCCAAATAAGGGTATCTATTTTCCTTACCAAATACACACATAACTAACAGTTATAAGTTATGGAGGTTATGTGGCTGCATTTAAGAAAACAGTACACCCTGGGTGTGTCTACCATGTTATTAGCATGCAGCAGTAAACTCCGACATGTATTGAACCAGAGTTTATTGCTCCCCAGGAACATGCGCCTGGGACCACAGCATGTTGAGCCACATAGGAACAGCTCCAGCTGGCAGGCTGACCCCGCAAGCCCCCTGCCAGCTGGGGCTGCTCTGACTTGACTCAATGTACTGCGGAGGGGCTGGTTGGGGCATGAGGGTGCTCCAGTGCAGGGCGAGCCAGCAGGCAGCCCCGTACTGAAGCACCTTTGTGCCCCAGTCAGCCATGTCAGTGTCTACACACGTAGTGCTGTGAATTAAAAAAACCTCTGCAACAGGGTAGTACAAGTGGGGTTAATTAGTCTACTCTGTAGTAAATGTCTTGTGGAGATGCATCCCTTAAGAATTATTCAAACCAAAACTATCAGTTATTCTCTCAGTAAATACTGAATTAACTAGCATTCCTTTATTCAAAATAAAAAAGGGTAAAAAGAGGTTAAAATCAAACTAAATTTCAATCATTCTACCCACTTTTTGTTTTGAAAATTTGTCCACTAGTTAACATTATCTTTAATACCAGTAACACCCTAAAAATACTCTTTTGTACTATTTTTTGAACCCAAGAATGCACAAACGGTTTTCTTTTTAACTCCACAATATAAGCACTCTTTAAAGGGAGACATGAAGCCTAGATGTATTTCAGGGACTTATAAAGACCAGAGGTAGACATTAAAAAAGAACCCTTCCCCCACATAAGTCTCATAGATATCATGTTATCAGGAATTATTATATAATGGTTTTAAAGGGATTTTAAAAAATGGATCTAGAACTACTTTTTATTCCTCCATCTGTAAAACTAAGTGCCTTAGTTACCATAAATCTCTCTAAAAATGGCAAAAAGTACATTTTGATGTAAACGGTTAGAGCTTATTCTCCTACCAGGGTCTAAATGGTGGTCAGGCATCCTAATGGCTTGTTTACACTGGCATGACAGGAGGTGTCAGCAAAAAGTGGGCAGAGTATACCTCACCCATATTGCATTTACTTGCATATATAGGTATACAGCAAACCCAGAAGCTTGTCAGTGAGGATATGCCAGGCTTGTCTGTCTGCATCCACTCTCATGCACTCAGTCTTCACCATAAATGAAAGCAGGTGCTGGGAATGAGCCAAGCAGCCTCTGGTAAAATTACAGCATTGAAGTGCACCAGTGAACACAAGAGAGCAGCATGTTGGTGGCTGCACCCTCATCAGGACAGCTTCCATTGGAACGCAGACTAGCCCAAAACACCTAGAGAGCAATCTCCTTCCATCCTACTAGAGTCCCTGAAAAAATACGGATGCACCTTTTTTGGCACTGCACCGTCACCTTATCCTTAAGGCTAAGTCACAAAAAGTGATAAAGAGTGCCCTTAGGCATTTCAGGGGTGAAACAGCATTTGGTCCTACAAGTTTAAATACAATTATATTCCACAATGGTCAAGTCTCTGGAAAACAGTTAATGCAAAGGGTGAGTGGATCTAATCACTTTTTGTGCCTTAGTCCTAAGGCTAAGATAAGTTGTGCTACCCAGGTGGATGCATTAAGGATTTTTAGGGACTGAGCAGGGTAGAAGAGGATCACATTTAGATACCCAAGTGCCACCCAGATGCCTAATATATTAAATAAGATCAGACCTCAAAATATTGGGATTCAGTCTGCTATCCTGGCAGCTTCCAGTGCTAGCAATATGCTGGGAAGCTGTGCATCCCCTACTTACCGATCTTATCAAGCTCCTGTTCCTAGCTCTACAGAGTCACTAAAAGAACGGAGGTGCCCTTCCTCCACATGCCTGCTCTGTCCCCCTATAACTGCTTCACATTTCCACTCACTCTTAGTTTGGCCATTGGTCCTGTTCTATACCAGACCTTTGTCCTCTGTCCATTTATGAATGAGGAATGGACAGCAGAAATTCCTGCTTTTCAGTTCACTGACAGAAATACATATTAATATCCTTGCAATTTTATTGGCTGTGCCTAGAGGTAGGGCGGTGCACAGCTAGGAGAGGGCTTCTGAGCCAGTCACAGAGTGAAGGAGGCAGGAAGGGAGGTGGTGGTCCCACCCCTTGCTGCTGATTGGCCAAGGGGGCTGGTGCTCCCCCTCCCCTTGCTGCTGATTGGCCAAGGTGACAGTTCCACCCCTCACTCCTGGGCTCTCCCTCACCGAAGGGCTGTCCTGTATTCTGGGGATGTGTCAGTGGCTATCTGACTCTCTCGCTATACACTCTGCCACTTTCCCTCTCCCTTTAGTTTCCTACAAGATATTTTCTAAATCAGCAGAGGGTATGGGGACTGTAGAAAAAAGTAAAGGAGAATGCAGATATGTGCATTAGCCCAAGTGGAGCGTACTTGCATGAAAAGGCTTGTATTTGTAAGACTAGAGAGATGTGAAGGGACAGGAGCTGAGACAGGGAACTCAGAACCTGAATCCAGATGTCCCTGTGCTCTCCACCCCCTGCCACCTCACCGTGCCTGACAATTCTGTTCTGGCATGCAGTGGAAGCGAGGCAGCAATGCCATGAGGAATTCACCAACGCAGTGGCACACAGAAACTGAATTAAGTTCTAAGCCTCTGCTGGGTCCCCAGCACAAAATTTTCTCCCTACTTCTTCCAACTTCTTGGCCTCCCTCACTAACTACCCTTAATGTGGCCACCAGATATCCCTTGCACCCCTCTATATTTCCACTCACTCATCCTGAACCCTTCCCTTCCAACCTCCTTAGCTGTAGTGACATCATGAGAAGACTATCCTAAAACCTAATTAAACTAACACCCGTTTAATCTGGAACAATGCACCCACTAAAACAAAGTGTTAACCATAATTAAATATCTGGTTATAGCATGATGTCACTACACAATAGAATAAAGGTTGTGCTTTATGTATTTCTGTACCCTGAACAGGTTTGGATTTCTTCAGTGTTAAATCTTGAAGTGCAAATGTTCTGCCTATGCAATGGCTGCTTGTCTTGGGGACAAGTACAACTTTCTTAAATTCATGCTATCTGAATTCCATCTCAGTGGGTACAAGTATATACTACAACAAGATACACAATGCAGGTAGCTTAAATGGTGATTTTTTTATCCTTAACTGCTAAGGTTATTTGTATACCTGTTGTCTTGTTTCATTGGCTATATTTGGTCTATATTTGTGTCTCAGAACCTGAGCTATAATGAATAATACTAATGGGCAAACTTACTTATCTGTCTCTGTCCTATGTATTCTGCACAGATAGTACAAACATCAATAAAGATGGTTCATGAACACAGATGTGACTGTCATATAAAATTTTCTCAAACCCAAACTATATAAAGTCTATGTGGGCTCATTGGTCTTCGTGACAGATTGCCTTGCCTTACATTATTAAGTGTCAGAGAAATAAGGATCTTACCTGTGATATGAAACCTCTTGCAAAAAACTAGAATCTCCAAGAAAACTGTAATGATTTTATGTCAAAATAGGTAAAGCACAGCAAAAACTCTGGAGGAAATAGTTTTAATTTTAAACAGCACAGCACACCCATAGAAGTGAGTCCAAACTGGCAACATGTACAATACTGTTACCTAGCATTGATCTAATTATGCCTCGGAAGCTGAAAGATTTCCTTCAAGAAGTGGCCCATCGCTGTTCGCCAGTGCATTTAGAGGTGTTTTATGTTTCATACTCTTCTGTAAGGATGAGGAAAAATACTAAGACATTTGCTGAATACATGAGGGAAATCTGAATGAATCTCTCAAGAAGTAAAGAACAGATCTCTAACTATCGTACCAATGTCATACAATGTGATATTTTCTATATATCTATATATATACATATTTTAAAAAAAATAACAGTTATAGCAATGCTCATATTCCTCTATCCTGGGATTAATCTGAGCCCTGTTGCCCAACTGGTCTGACTTTAATCATATTCTGAACTCGAATACAAAAATGCTGATTATTCTATCAAAGATATTTAAATTGTATCATGAGTAACTACTAAACTGACTCTATATCCCCCCCCCGCCTCATATTTTTGGCTACTTGCAGTAGGAAAAAGCCTTGTACTAAACTGGAGACTTCCTGAAGAGGTGATCAAGATCTTATAGACTCTGAGCTCTTCCATAGTGTCAAAACTGCCAATGAATAGGTTTAGTGACTGTGTTAGACAAATGTTTTTTGTGTGTGGGCTGCTCCCAACATGCTGAGCCACGCAATTTAAAGGAGAGAATGGTCTCGTATACAACTGTGCAGAACAACTACTGCACTGAAAGGAAGGTAACAGTGCATCTGAAAGGTAATGTGGGCTGATGGTACAGGTAAGGCATTTTTAAGTACACCAGTTAGAACATGGGAAAAGGTTAGAATGACCACCTATGGGTTCTCTTCTGTGGGAAGATGACAACGTCTACAGCAGGGGTGTCAAACACACGGCCCATGGGCTGGATCTGGCCTGCAGAGCCTCTCTATCCAGCCTCCAGACTATCCACAGGCCACTATAAGTAGGGGGATGTGGACTGATGCACAATCCAAGACCCCTGTGTCTTGGTGGAAATAGCAATTGGCAGCAGGAGGGAGAGTAAGGGTTGATACAGTTGCAGCCATGTTTCAACTGCTCTAGTGAATACCTGTTGCACTCCTGTTGCCTTACCTCCCAGCTGCCGGCCCCTGCCACGTGGCCTGTGGTGGACCTGGAGACATCTCCATGAGGTTTGGGTCAGAGCTGGAGCCACTGCCCCCCACCACTGCTGTGTGCTCTGACCCACAGCTGCAGCTGTCACTGCCTCTACTTGCTTGTGCCGTGGACTGGATCCAGCCCATGAGGAGCCCACAATCCATATCTGGCCCAGGGCACAAAGTGGGTTGACACCCCTGTTCTACAGGATTCATATTCTTCAGCTACAGAATCCTGTCCTTTGGTTTTAATAGGGTAGGAGGCAGAGATACGAGAAAGATAGTAGTTTGTTGGTCACTGACTTTTTAAAAATACTGTAGTTCAAGAAGGTCTATGCTCATTAACGGTAAGAACTATGCTGAGTCCCCAGAATTCCCTCTTAAAGCAAAGTACTACTTTCGGCTCCTTCAGGAATAGCAAAGACTTCATAACAAGGTAGATATCCTGCCGTTATGACGGAAGTGAAATACTGAACAAAAATACCAATCAGCAAACTAAATGGGAGAGAAAGGGTATTTTTAAGGGAGAAAAACAAGTTATTCACTGTGTGCACACAAAATGCTAGGAGTGGCATTTGAGTTAGAAAAATGTTTTGGATTACTGGAATAATGGTCAATTAGAGGCTAATAAAAAGTGGAAAGAAGGCAATTTAAGTGCTTTTACATTTTCCAATCTTGTGTTGTCAAGCGGTAGAAATCTCTGTTGCTAGCAAGAGGGAAGAAAGAACAATGCGAGTGGAAATATAACAAATGAATGAAGCTTGTGTATAAAAAGGTCTTCTGTATACAATCAAGAGAACAAACCATACATGCATAGCTTCCAAGAAGACTAAATCCAGCGTATCTCATTTTGGCAAGCAGTCCCACCAAAGTTGTTGGGCCCACTGGTATGAAAGATGCAAGCAGGTTTTGGCATAAAATTATTCAAAACAACAGATTCCTCCAAAGCTTTTGCAGAAGTATTGAAAGTTTTAGCCCAACAAAGTGAAATTTGCATATACACCACTAAGAAAACGCTAAAAGTCAATCTAAAATGTGGAAGACTATATAAGTTGTTGTTTTTTTAAAAAAATTTCAATGGTAACAATGGTAAATAGCTGTTCACCACACACAGGACTTCCTGTCAATTACATTAATGGTTAGAAACAAAAATAAGTATCTCGGGGCAGAACTGATTTGTAGAGATTCATGACATGGTTTCCTACTGTAGCAGGAGACTGGACTTGATTACTCAGAACGTCCTGAAAGTCTTATGTTCCTTTTTTCAGCCATTGCAGTAGCCTTTAAAAACATATTTTAAGGTTTTGTCCTTAAAGGGATGCAAAAAACTTAACTCACTGTTCCAGAAGCCAGAACAAATCAATTTAAAAATATTTCTAAGACAATTTTAGCTGAAATTTTGAACACTGAAATCAATTTCCAATATTTTCCTTGCAATTTATACAGATGTTATCAGTTTAAAAGGTCTTACACTTTTAAGAAGAAAGGATTTATATTTATAACCGCCATCTATCAGAAAATATGAATATGAAGCCTGCAAAAGAACCAAATCTTTCTTATAGCTTAAATGGGACTGTTATTTCACCCTAAATGGTTTATACAAGGACATCTTTTACTATGCAGTTTATGTTTACTTCGTATTAATCTAAAAATTTTGAACAGCATATATTTGCAATCTCTGGGGGTTTTTTTCCCCCCAGGATGATGTATAGACTTCATGTCACAGCATACAGTGAATATTTTTCTTTAAAAAAAAAAAATCATGTTTGCCTGAAATAACTGCTGCAAAACAAAACATCAGAACTGCTGTATTTTCCTCACTGTTGTAGAGCCCTGTATGGCTTAAAACCATAATTTCTACATTAAGACAGAAATAATGGCAAAACCACTATTGGATTGGTAAAGGGCTTGATTACGTCTGTGCGTGGTGAATAGTTTATTTTCTGTCACTTACAATGCAAGCATTCATTGCATTGTGCAACACATTCATCTACAGAAACATGAATGCTTACAAATCTTAGATTGAAGCAGACAAATTATGTAAAATTAAATAATGTGAGTGACAGCTAATCACCAATGGTCAACAGATTCTGGAGTAGAGGAAAAATTTATATTGAGAAATATTCTTCTTTAAAGTATAGTAGTTTATATGCGAATCAGAAAAGAAGACAATGAATAAGATAAACAGCTCTTGGTGATAAACTTTCTACCATCCTTTGAATGAAAATAGTTGAGCATGCAGAAAGGCAGAAAAAGTCACCTTTTGTTCCATTAGAAACTTAGACTGCTTGAAGTCTGAGAAAGCATAAAGATGGTGGACTGCTCAACAGAAAGGCACTGATGTTTAGTCTGATTTCCCCAGAAGATTGTAGGAAGTAACCGTGCACATCATTTATGTTTAAAGCAAGGTAGCGGTTATTTAGGCAAAGCAGGTTGGAAGACAGGAGGAAACAGCGAGAGGGAAGAAAGAGACACAAGGGATAAATCTGGTTAAAAGCTAAAAGATTTTTTACTGCATATTAAAAAATGAACATTGCCAGTTAAGCCCACACTCTGCTTTACAACTGGTTCATTTTCCAACATTAACAGACAATGGCAATGAAAAAAGGCCATTCTCGTTATATATTTATATACCCTAGTGGGTGGATTTTTTTTTTTAATTAACCCATTCTCATTCTCTCTCTTTAGACTTAAGTACAAGCATGCACAGCCTAGATTGTGTGTGTGTGTGGATAATAAGGGCAATTTTCCTGTAAATATCAGTCACAAGCCAGAGTCCGCTCAAAGATCTACACAAAAAGCTTCTACACTTTGATCTGCATGGGCATCTTGGTTTGGCATTCTGCTAATCCTACAGATTTGGTTTTACCTCCTGAAATAAGGTATTGTCATAGCTTTATGCATGCTGGGAATGTAGAAAATGGCACTGACAACTGTCTAATAGATATGAAAGCAGAATGCCGCTCCTCTCCCTTGCCTAAATATATACTGTCTTCCTAGATTTTATTTTCCTAGGAAGGAAGGCACAATTATTTGCTTTGAATCAATTTTATTCCTTAGAAGGGGGCTTTGCATTGCTTCTGTAAAATAACTTCTGTTGTTGGCCACTAAAAGGAATGGGGATAATAGATCTGAACAACAATCTTGTCATCCAGTGATGTGGTTACATATCTGTGTGCTTATAGCTGAATATATTGCAAATATATACCTGGAGATTTTGTTTTTAGATATTAATTTTCATTTAAACATTACTTGTGATAGCTTTTTAAATTTTAAATTCATGGCTTTCTTGTAAAGGCCACAGTAGATATATTAAGCAATGGTCACGCTTCCTAGGAAAAAGATATTACATAACCAGATTATTTAACATTATTCTATTTTAGCAACAATACACTACTTAATCATATGCATGTTATTTTATCTTTACAGACTGATTAAACAGTAAGCAAGCATATAGTGCTATCTTGCTGTAGTGGAGATATTTTTGCAAACTTAATTTCAAGTGGATTTGGATCTCACAACTTTGCTTCTGAATACCGGTTTCACATTTGATTTAGGAAGAACCTTTTAGTTGGCTTCTATATTTTATACAACTCTACCAAACTTGCGTAACTTTGTTATATTATGTGAAGCATAAACTAAAGTAAAAGTACATAGAAATTTCAACCTAGAAACAATGACTGCAAACTTCTCACTAAGTACAAACATGGATTCCTATACTTCTTTTATTACTTCTAAAACTCTAGAGAGATCTAATTTTCAAAGATTCATAGTACATGTCACTAAATCTAAGAAAAATATTTTTACCTGGATTCTTTCTGTTGCTGTGGGCCACAACTGTCTGCATAAGATCTTCTTGAGTACATCAGGAAGAAGACTGATTATTATGAGCAGAATGATACCCAGCCATGCAGGCCCACTAGACAGCATCTGCATGAACACATAGTACATCCTTTGATAATTAAGAAAAGGCCTAGAGGGAAGAGATGAGAAGGAGATACACTTTAGTGGAACTGCTACTTGAAAGAGAAAAGTGTCACAGTGTTAAATATAAAATATATAGCAGAGTACTGCAAAAGTTGTAGGATCAGTTTCCCCAAGGTTCATTTTTCAGTTTGTCAGAATTCATCCGAGGTTCACTTATGTTTCACATTCTAATTAACTAGAAAATACATGGAAAAACTCATTTAACTGTGACACTTTACCTGGCTTAGTATCAAAACCACTGTAGTTTTTACAATTATTCGGCCTCAAAAGAATAAGAGGGTGAGGAGTCAAGCCTGGTTCCTGGCACCTGGTTCCCTTCCTCCTTCAAAACATTCAGACTCACTCTTAATATTGCCAAACCCGAAACATTTAAAAAACAAACAAACAAACAAACCCAAAATAACACCAAAATCTTGATATATTTTTTCATATTTGGGGCAACATACCCATTCCCAAACTTGTGCAATCCCTAGGGTCAAAGTTTAGTCTTAAAAGCAATCATAAAATGTTATTTCCTTTCCCTAGCTAGAGGGAACTCCACTTAACATCTTTTACCCCCTGGGAGGGGTGGATCAGAGGATTGCACTGGTACACTTGCCGCACCCCCACTCCCTCCTGCATTGACTCCTGGCCCATCCAAAGTTAGAACCAAATGCCTGGTTGTGGCAGCTGCATTTCTAGTCAGGCAGTGCTGAGGGAATCAATTGACTTCACGGCTCATTTATAATCTATCTGACCCCTTCTAAACTCTTCATTCCACAGGTGTTAACAACCCTCTCCTTTTTAATGGTCTTGATGTGCCAACAACCAAGGTACCATTTTTGTTCTGCAATTCTGCTGCCTGTTAGGAGTTTCATTACCAGGAGCAGCTATTTCACAGCCCTGTAAACTGTTTTTAAGCCATTCCAAGAAGTACTATTTGTTTTTGCTTCAATCTTCAACTGAGTAATGCAGTCTCAGGCCCCAAGCCTATTTATAAAGCTTCTAATTTATTTTTAACTGGAGAAAAATATATGTTGTTTTATATGTGGCAATGCACCTCACTGTTTGCACCCTTGTCCCTTTTCAAAATCCAAGATCTGTCCATGTCCCCTGAAGTATGGAAACTACCGTTTTGTGCTTGTCTACCCTCTTCCCTTCCTGTGTAGAGGGCAAGCCTTCTCACTCTCTCAAGGTGTGAACACACATTCTATGGAATAAGCTTTCTTAACTCAGTAATAAAAAATGGAGTAGAAACACAATACACAGTTTTATCCTGGTGTAAAGCATGTTACTTCGAGGTCAATTACTCCCTAAGAAATGAGGAGTACCAATACTCTTTTCTAATATTTTTCAATACAGATATATGAAGCTGGAAGAGTATCTCAAAACACATTTCCTCTTACATACATTTATTTATATTAGCTGAGAAAAAGATGGTCCTAAAACATATGGACATTTTTTGTAATGTGAGTTTTCTTTTTCTATCTTGTTAATTATGTATAGCAAAACTTATTAGAACATATCTGTCACAAAAGAAGAATAATATAAAAAAGGGAATCAGCAGCAGGTGATGTAAAAATTCTTCTAACCTGCTCTATTTGTAATAAAGCCATAGATTTTTAAAACAAAACATCAAACAAAGCTCAACCACTTTGTAATAGAATCTAAGGACCAATAATTTTTCCTCCCTAAGGCTATTTCTAGCATCTATTAAGCTCAAGAAAAGTTAAGTTTTCAGTAATCACCATGATTGATATGTTTAAACTGTAAGAAGCAAAGTACTGTTGGAGTGATGTTGTAGCTGTGATGGTCCATGAAATATGTGAGGCAAGGATTTTTGAGAGTGGTATCTTTTATTGGACCAATTGCACGGTTGGAAGAGACTTAGACAATATTTTAATGCAGTGTATTATTTTTCAGATATTTCTTATGTGCCCTTCCTCGGGTTTCAGAAAGAAGCCAAAGGAAGGGCACTTTGTACCAAAAGCTTGTCTCTCTCAATTGTACAATTGGTTCAATCAAAGCTATCATAACAAAACACTTGCTTTCCTGGATCAACGCTGTTACAACAACACTCCAGCCCTCCAATATGTTTAAATTGGTGACTTGAGTTGTGAGTTGTACAAAATACAAAAGCTGAATTGAAAAGAGCTTGGTTTATAACCTATTTTATATTTCTGAAATAATATTTGCATTTAGTAACACTTCAAAATAACAATTTATACTAGGTTCTCACCAGATAATTCCTCCCCAGAGTAGGGAAAAGATAATGTAGAACAGCAATGATCCCCAGATCACAAAGTGATTTATCCATGTCCAGTAGCGTGTATCTAGCGCAAGCTGAAAGAAAAAAGAAAAATGTGGTTATTATTTTAATTATTGGGAAGTGATAAAATACTCAGAAGAGATGGTGTAATGTTAAAACCAGCATATTATTTCAAGAATTAAGCTAAGGCATTACTGAAAAGCTGTAGTGGAAACAAGGCCTTTCAGTTTCCATCACAATTAAGAAAGTTCCCATACCTATTACCCAAGAACTAAACCTTGCATTTCACAGTGATAGCTAATATACATCACACCAAAAGCTTGAATATTACTTAGGAAATAACAACACTGAAATATTACTAGCAGCATGTTAAAAGATTAATTGTCCTCCTTCCTGTTTCTCTTTAAAAGTAGTCTCTAAGGCCCCTGATGCACATTATACTTAAGGCATGATTAATTGGTTAATCGCATGATTGACTGGCTGGGAACCCCTTCAGTTATGCGAGCCAACAGCCACAGGGGGGCAACAGGCACCCCCATGGCTGTGAGTCCTGACAGCTGATAGGGCTCCCAGCCACAGGAGAAAAATAACCAGTGCAGGGGGAGCCTGGGTGTAATTCTGGGCTCCCCCTACATTGGCAATACGGCATGAGGGGAATCTGATGCTCAATTCCACAATCACACCTCCCGGCATCACAGGAGTGCAATTGCTGGGATCAGATCTCAAGTCCTATTGCACCTTCTTTTTAACGTCTGTCAGTGGCCTAATTGTCACAGTGGACACTGGCATAAGATGGCTAAAAACTGGTAAAGGTAAACTGCTCACTTTAACCATGAAAAGAATTAGGTAGCATTTTGTAAAAATTACTGCAATGCTCTTTTTTCTAAGCTATTTTATTATATTTTACATTTTTATTTATGTCTACTATCCAATAAGTACAAGACTTTGAAACTCCAAAGGGAGCAATGTCTAACTACCCTCAAAGGCTGTAGACAAAATACTGTGCAGAATATAAATAGCATAGGGGGAAATGGTCACAATCTAGGAGGCTTCAAAAGTTGTAGTGAATTAAATATTAATATTGGCTCTCTTACCTTTAATGTAACTGTAAATACGAGCACAGTAAATACCAGCGTTCCGAAAGTCCAGTTTCCAAACATCTATAAAAAATTGTTCAAAGTTATAGGTAACATATTCCCTTGCATATGATGAGCTATCCAGAACAATCTACTTTAGGATAATGCACTCCGTTGTATTACGGTTATCTAGAAGAAGCCATTTTGAAGATGAGTTTTATTTTGCTTGTGTGCATACATTTCAGGATACACACAAACAACAATACACACAATCTGTACACTCAGCTTAAAGCTCACAGGTACTTTTTTTTTTTTGCATGAAAGAAAAGTTGTGGAATGGTTAGTGTGTCATTAAGATGTTTCCACCAGAGCTTTGATGGTTTCTTCAGAGTTCTGTTTTCTCAGCTGTCACCTTTTCTCCAACTTCCCTCCTCGCCTTTTCTAGGAGTCACATCTTGGAAACTGATGTATGAGTCAAAGAGATTGGCAGCAGCACAAGTGAGATGGTGATAATTATCACATACAAATGGTTCAATCAACTTTTTTAATGTTTATTTTGAATAGTTTAATATTAGGTACTAGATTTTTCCCTTTTAACAGGGCTTCATTTACATGAGCTTGATAAATCCATACCTCAACTACCCTCATTGCACTTAGGTTTAGGTGCCATATCATATAATATTTAAGATTCAGCATAACAGCATAATAGCCATACATATTTTTTTTCAGTAACGTGAATTTATAGTGTAATAGCTAACATACTGCAGGTTCTTGAGTGTTCTTGAAAGTCATGGGCTAGTTGGCACAGAGAGAAAAACAGTAAAACTGGAAAATGATGTGAAGGAAAATCTGAAAGGTAAGTGAGTAAGATTTTAAGGAGAAGCTGCTGCTTACTCTGCAAGAGAAAGTACAGCTCAGAACCAGATCAACCAAGTGGAAGTCTCTTGTTTAAACTTAGGCCATGAACAGGCATTAATTTCCAGTGGTGGAAATATTTCACTGCTAAAAACATTTACAGGAAAGTGAGCAGTACAAGCATTCAATCTGCAATTGCCCCCTCTCCTCTGCTCCTCACACCTCCCATGGAGTGGGGTGACTGTAGTTTGGGGAAAGCACGTGGAGCAGCAGCTGCTCCAGTCCTTCCATTCCTGGGAGACCAAGATGTGAGCAGAGGAGAGCAAGCAGCGGCTGCTCAATCAACTCAGCTCCCAATGCCTGGAAGAGTAGCCTAAGCCTAAGCAACATGGCAAAGCCCCTGCCCGCTCCTCACCCCAAAGACTCTGATGTAAGGAGCTGGCAGGGAGCAGCAGGAGGCTGTTCCTCCATACCCCTCCCAGTCTACAGGAGCTGTCCCCTACACCCTCTCCAGACTGAAGTGACCCCAGCTTGGGGAAGGCCGAGGAGCCTTTCCTCACTGATCAACCCCTCCTGGTTCCTGGAAGAGATCAAGCAGTGGAGAAGTGTACAGGTGTTCATTCTTCTAAGTGACCTCTGTTGGGTCAGAGATGGGTTATTTTTCTCCCGGAACTACCATTTGTTCCAGAAGAAATGGTGTGAATGCCTGTACACTCATGGTTTCTGTTGGAAGAGCTGCGGTTTTCCTATTACAAACATAATGCCTGTAACTTGGCTCTCATGGCTGTGGGTTGCCAATGAGCAGCACCTCAGCGTGTTGGTTGTGCAAGGGGCAGGGGGAGCAAAGATTAACTGAAGCGTGAATATTTCCAATGTCATTTCATTTCTAGGATTTATTCAAAATTTACTGTTTTATACATAGGTTGGACTGTATGAAAGTGAGTACGTGTGACTTCTGCCTTAACAAGTTACCAGCTCATTTTTATTTACGGCTGTTTGATAGAGAGAAAAAACAAATCTAATTTTATTTACCAACCCCCCTGAAAAGTTATACATTTACTGGTCAGTCTTCTGTCTGGTTCAGTTTTAACCTTCAATCATGACATCTAAGCAACTATCAGAAATACACCTTGGATTAAAAGATAATGTCCTTAGCCCAAATTATGAAAACACACCCAGATTTTCTGTTCTGTTTAAACTGTATGGGGTGGGGGCTTTTATTTATTTATTTATTTGGTAAAATGACTTTCTGTGAAGGAAAATACCATATGGATCTTGAGATACTGATCGTTTAATTGTTTAGAGGTAGTTCTATTCCCTAGTTGGTTACAGACATTCTGATGATCAGCAGATCCCTTCCTGCCAGAAGCAACATATCCTTTGCTCTTGTGCTTTGTTATTTTCTGCTCACAATGAGATGAGAGCCCCTTTGGATGACTCTTGCAACCTCTTCAGTAAGTAGCCCTTTTTACAAAATTTACTCTCTGGGATCTTCAACCTGACCCAAAAACAACTCCACAAGATGTGAGGAAACTTCCTGAAAATACATTGGACCTTCTGCATGAGAGGCCCAAGAACACACCCAATCAGGTGGTCTATCCTCCCAACCAAATTCTTCTTTGTGGAACTCCTTGACTGTGTGTTATGAGGCGGGGGGAGGAGAGAATGGGATGTGAAGGTTGTAGTAAAGGGCAAGTCCTGAGCATCCCTTGTGGAATAGCAGGCTCTCAACGGAGATTATTATTCTTGATTTTGTAAAAATCAACCATGACCCTTGGAGACAGAAATCTCATAACCAGAATAGAATATGTACAGAGCCACCAAACACTGTCCCACAAATGTGAATTTATAATGATCTAAAAGTATGACAACATCTGGCAACACCTCCATCAAGACATTTTTTTCATCTGTCCACTAGAAACGGGACAAGACCATCTATTCACATTACAAAGGCAAACAGCCATAAGATAACAGCTTTGGTTACTACCAAACTTGGACTCACCACTTGTACCTACAAATAAAACACAAGGTTTTTATTTTAATTCCTATTTCCCATTTCTAGTCATTAGAACCATCCAGTCTTGTTTGTTTTATTTTTGCCATAACCCCTCATTACATAAAAAATGTAAATGACTAACCTCTTTTATTTTTCAGTTAATAGAATCATAGGCTTAGAAGGGACCTCAAGAGTCCTTTGGTCCAACCCCTGCACAAACACAGGAATGCTATTCCTAAACCATCCCTATCCAATGCTTATCCAAATTCTTCTTGAAAGTCTCCAAAAAGGACATTTCACATTTTCCCAGTGCAGTTCTCAGAGTAAGGCAGTTCTTCCTGAGATTTAGTCTAGGTCTACTTTGCTGCAATTTTAAGACATAGCTTTGTATCCTGCCCTCTGCAGCAAGAGAAAAAGTTGTTTTCTCTCTTCTTTATGGCAGCTTACTATATACGTGAAGTTGTTATGACTGTTTTTACTTGCATTGTTTGACATGGTCAGTGTGTTTGTCTTGTCTTTGAATAGCTTTTCTGTATATGTCAAACTCAATGATTCTAAACAGTCAATTTGCACATAGATATTTGAATCATTTTGGGGTTTATTTTAAAATGATTTTCTGTTCCTGTGTACTCTCACATACACCAGCTTTCACTACTTAATACTTCTTGATGCTTTTGATTCATTTGATGTCTTTTCTGTGTTTCATCCTCTTAGCTGAGTGCATGACATAATCAGATTTAATTTTCTTTTGGTAACTGGATCTGTTTTGATATGGCCATGCTCATGATAGTGCTATTTTGTTCACTTGAAGCTGGGCCAGACTCAGGAAGTTCCTAGGTAGATGACTTGCTCAGGAAATTGAGGCTGCACCATCACTTGTTCCCTTTTTTCTAGCAATTTTAAATAATTTGATGCCATGTTTGGCATCTGACTGACAGGAAAGGAAACTGACAGGTTGGTGCCAGTTTTTTTTATTTCTTCATACTGGTCAGATGCAGTAGGATGGAAAGTCTAGATTTGCAGGATAAACATCTGGGGAGAAACAGAAGAGCCCTGCTTCAGCTCCCTCCACTTCCTCAACCTGAAAATGAATGGGAGGGCAGACATCCTATGCAGCTCTTTTGTAATGCCATTCATATCCTTAATTCAACTCATCACACAGGGATGCAGAGGCTAATGGTCAACTGTATTCAGTGGATGGGAAATCATCAGCCCCAGGTTGGAGCCAATCTTGGAAGATCAAAATGCTTGCCCAGCAGAAGCATCTTGAATATATAACAAACTTCAACAAACAACTTCAAGTTGTTAAGTATAATTTAACTTGTAGCATTCGGTCTTATATTCTGTTTGCTGATGAGTGGCTTGATCATTTCCTAACCTACGTGTATTTCCCTTTGTTTCTGATCTTAATAGCTCTGTTCCTCAGCTCATCACTTTTATTTTTGTCCTACAATGCCCACCTTCCTCCTTTCATCTTTCCCATGATCCTGTTCTTATTTCCCCAGCCATCTGTACTTGTACTATTCATGCCCCATTAACAATATACAAACAAACAACCTACCAATCCCCCAACAACTAACCACTGCAACCAAAATGGAGACCAAATCCTATATATGAACACCCACACAAGCCCCACTTGCTAAGACGCATCTTATTACTGGTTACTGACATTTACAAATTGTGACCATCACCCTATTTCTATGCTACTTTCCTTTTTTTGGCCTTTCCATTTAGATTTCAAATTTTTTGTTGCCTGTCTCTTACTATGTGCTTGTACTGTGCCTAACACAGGGGTCCACAATTCAGCTGTGGCATCAAGGCGCCACTGTAATAAGTTAATATATAATACTACACAATCTTAAGCATCTGAATTTGCTTGCATCACAGTTGCTCTGGGCCAGGCCTTTGATTTCAGCTGATTTGATTGGATAACCCCACTTTAAAACGGGTGGCCAAGAGAAAAGAATTCTAAACGATGAAAGACATCCTCTCCTGAAGTTACATAGTAGTGGATCACTATAGAGACTGGAGTGGAATTTCTAAATATACCATATTTACTCAAATCTAACATAAAAATTTTCCCCCAATCAGCATAGGGAGAAGCCCCTCATCTTAGAATCACGTACAAAGCCAGGGAAGGAGGGACATGAGCAGGAGATTGTTACAACATGGCTCTGAGCCAAATGAGTCAGACTCACAGCAGACTCCTGCCCCCACTCCATTTGCCCTCTGC